AAGAAATGCTTTGATTGAGGTGTGGAAGCGCCAGGTGGATGCTTGGCGATGATACCATGTAAAGATTGAAGCAGTAGCTTCAATAGAGGTGATTAAGAAAAGCAGACTTGCATATACAGAGAAGAAGAGAGAGAGAGAAAAGATTTCTTTTATTTCTTGAGTGTCAAGTTACTTACCTTACACCTTTGCTATTTGTATTTATATGATTACATTGCTTAATGCATAAGCTAGCATTCTAACAACAGATTCTAACAACCTTATAACTTCCCTTGGATCTTGTGACACTTGTCATCATCTAGACCCTTAAATTCCCTTCACTTGGATTCTCATCTTTGTGTTTGTTTACACTCTTACATCTAACACCCTAATTTGCTTAAAACATTTTGAACAATTTTTTAAAAGTTTTGATAGTTTAGCGGATGAACAATGTCGAAAAATTACATTTGTTAGCCTATTTAATTAACTTTTCATCTTCAATAACACTCTTTATTTTAACAAACTTTAAATATTTTATTATCAATCATTATAAAAAGAAAAAACTCAACCAACTCATTTTCTAAAATCACCTTAACTCTCTTCCTTTTTCTCCTTGGTTCACGGGTCCACTCTCAAATTTTATTAATTTTTACCATTAGCATTTGAACAACGGCTCTACAAAATTAAAGATCAACTATTCACTTTGCAATTATGTCGAGTCCTTTATAGAGTCTCTTAGAGAGAATTTTTATGAATTTGACTTATTAATTAAACTAGATTCTATTGGTTTTATAATTTCTTGGAGATGCTTACTTGTACAATATTTGTGAATCATTGTTGAATTTGTTTGCATGAAATATACATCGTCATGCCATAGAGTTTGTGTAACTAATTGACTTAATTTTTTTTAATATAGGAATCCCCTAACACATGAATTAATATGACAGACTAATGTCTCTCCTCGTGTATTTATGGTACCACATGAGGAGGCAACGCACTTTTAGGACCAAAATGACAAAAAAAACCTTGATTTAATTAACAATGGGTCAAATGATTTGCCAAAAATGAGGGCATTTTTGTCACTTTACCTTATTTAATAGTGATTTTTTACGGAAGTTCCAAATAATAGGGTGGACAACTCAAGGATCACATTTCTATTGACTTCAAATCTCAAAATCAATGTGAAAAGTTATACCAATCTAAAAAACCATTTGACTAAAAAGCCCACGTATAATGCAAGTATGAAGTTGCTGTGTACATGTTACACCCTCATTGGACACGTTCAGTTATCACGTACATAGCAGAAAAAAAGAGAAGAAATTTGTCGAAAGAGAGAAGAGGGGCGTGGTGGGGGACAAATGCGCGCACGTGTGTTAGAGAGACAGAAAAATCTTTGGAGAATTTATGAGTTTAGATATAGACGACCATTTATCTCAAGAACCTTATGTGCAGATTGTCTCTAGCTAAAAAGTCTCAACTCTGTCAATTTAACTGTTACTTTATTTAATTACCATGCATTGCATGCAATATCCCCACCACTTGCCAATAGGAAAGAGACGAAAACGATATTTGGGGTTCAAGATTTGGGCACGTCATAAACTCACAAACCAGACAACTCATCTAATTCCCCTGCTACCAAACACAAAAGAAAACAGTTAAATCCAGATGAGTCAGTCTCAGGCTGATAGATGATGTTACACTGCTAAAATTTATCGACTTCTTAATTACAGTTCATATGGAAATGATTTGGGAAAGTGTCTTTCTTATGCACTATTATGGACGTGAAATTTTCAGACCATTGAAGGAGTCAATCACAAATAGTTTAATGCATGCATGTGTCGGTGGTCGGTCATCGTGTTTATCTGTGGCATGAAAAAGGACTGTGGCCAGTTACCAAATTATTGAGCTACATAAAAGTGTATTGAAAATTCTTAACGTATTCTCTCGTGAGTGTTAACAAATTATCGAGAGGAAGAAAAAAACGAATCACAAACTCTGGATAAGATTTATTCTTATAGAGTTACAAGATGTGTATTTATAAAGATCTAATTTTGAAACAAACAGAATATTAAGCAATCTTGAAACCCTAATAAACAAGGAATATTTGTTTATTTGCCGCCCCCGCCCCACCCCCCACCCCCCACCCCCCCGGGGAATTGTATGCAACTATCAATTTTCCCTTGAACTTTTATAATTAGCCAATTTCCCTCTTGAACTTTAATTTTAGCCGATTACCTCCTGGAACTTTTATAAATAGCCAATTTCCCTCATGATGTTAGATTTTAAAAAATTTCATCTAATTTTCCATCCATTTTGATCACAGAAATAACACATGACAGTTGTATGATGGCAAAAAGGATGGAAAATTGGATGGATGAAAAATTGAATGAAAGTTTTTAAAATCCAACACTAAGGGGGATTGGTTATTTATAAAAGCTCATAGGCTAATCGGTTAAAATTAAAGTTTAAGGGGAAAATTGGCCAATTATAAAAATTCAAAAAGATAATCGGCTAAAATTAAAATTTAGGGAGCAAATCAACTAATACCTCAATAAACAAACAGACAAATTAATCATAATCCTTATCCTACTAGAAGTCTTAAATACATAATATATATTAAAAAATATCCTAACTTTTATCTCACTATATATGCATACTAGGATTGCAAAGTGAGCTTAGATTAGATCCGATGTTTTATGATTCATTTTCACTCGATAAAAGTCGGAGAAAAACTTCTTCAGTTCTCTGTCATCTTCAAACACTAGTAACTTCTTGAATTCTTGATTCTCATAGTCGTTTCTATATAATTCAATGCGCTCGATCACATACATCAATAATTAACAACCATTATGTAAACACGGTCAACTTCCAAAAGAGAATCTCACCGAATTAACCAGTTGTGTTTCGCAAATCGGGTAACAGCTGCGTCTTACCAAATGCAAGTCCTTTTTAGGTTTCTCTATAGTACGAGTTGTGGAACACTATTTCACCTCATAGGCCGGTGTTCACATGCTTGTTAAAGCATGCATAGTTGATATTGTTGTATGTTGGAGAAAAATGAATGGGGGTCCCAAGTACAGGCTTTCTTAATAAGGGTAGATGGACTTTTGCCAAATATCAGATTTCAAATCTTGAGAGATTAGTTGATATTGATTAGTGATTTAACAAGAGAAAATGATTAAAGTGACCCCGACAACACCAATAAATAGATTATGTACGATTCTCTGATTAATTTACCCCCTAATACAAGCTAATTTGAGTTTGATTTGTACATTCAATCTAATTCTAGGGTTCATAATCTTTTTCTTGTTATGTCATATGGGGCTCTAACAGTGACGTCTCAACCAAACAAATCTAATCTGCCCTTGCCAATTGCTATTCAGCTGGAAATATAAAACATTAATCAAGTAACCAAGCTTCACTCTTTTCAATTTTCCTTTGTAACCAACCGAATAAATTTGGCAATCAATCAAGAATCTTTGGCGAAGAAAAAAATGTAACCAAATCATTGAAAATGTTGTTTTATATATATATATTTCCAAAAGAGGTATTTGTTGATTTGCCCCTTGAACTTGTATGCAGCTACCAATTTCCTCCCTGAATTTTAATTTTAGCCGATTACTCCCTTAAACTTTTATTTTTGCCTATTACTCCCCCTGAACTTTTATAAATCCCCCCTTGGCATTAGATTTTAAAAACTTTCATTCAATTTTTCATCGTTTTTGCTCTCATATAGTTGTCATGTATTGTTTCCGTGATCAAGATGGATGGAAAATTGGAGGAAAACTTTTAAAATCTAACGCAAGAAGGAAATTGGCTATTTATAAAAGTTCAGGAGGTATTCGGCTAAAATTAAAGTTCAAGGGGAAAATTGGCTAATTATAAAAGTTCAATGGGGTAATCGACTAAAATTAAAGTTCAAGGGAGAAATTAGCAACTCTATACAAGTTTAGGGGGCAAATTGACAAATATGCCTTTCCAAAATGCTAATCATGAAAAATGGAATGGAATTGACAAAATATATATAAACAACGAACGGGATGGATTTTATCAATGATTGATTTTTCATTATACTCGAAACACCGGTAAGTGAGGTTATTATTCCACTCAATTATAACAATTCTATTTCTTTTTTCTTAACAGACCAACGGCTATGACATGATTTAGTAGTAATGAAGTTTCTCCTCGTCACACGTCATAAAATGGGCCTTATGCCAACCATTGCACCCAAAAAATGATTGAGACAATTCTAGGTGCACCCATCAATTTAGTTTGCGCACCAAACATCTCTTCCCCGCCTCCTCCTCCTCCTCTAAAAAACGATCCAATTTGGTGGAATTACTGTGCTCATCACTGTAATCAGTAATAACCTCATCAAAGGAAATGCAATTGATACAGAAATTCAATTCCCCCTATCAATTATGATAGCTACAATATTTCTTAAAAAGAGGGTCCTATCAGTTGTAGCAATGTGGCTTGAAGTTCCACGTCGTCCACCATCAAACTTGGAGAAGTAATTTATATGGAAAATAAGAAAAACCAAAGAAAGAGGAGCTAAGCTGAGTGATAGGGTTTTGAGAATGCTGATTCTGATGTGCATGCTTGTGCTGGGAACGGCTCAATCGCCTACTGAGTTGTGTCATAGGGATTGTGCTTCTCTATGCACGATTGGCAATTGGGTTAATCCATTTTGCTTGCCTTCATGTCGGGCAAGATGCGCTTGCCGCCCTTGGAAGTTTCCTGTGGTTGTACTCAGTACTCACTACTCGAGATTGTGCCAATTCCGCGACCACCACCACCACAGCATCAATTCCTGATAGTGGATATAGTTTCACGCTTCTAATTATTAGAAATTATACTCTCTTTTTCTAGTCACTTATATTCCAGTTGCGTGTTAAGATAACATTACCGAGTAACTAATTATAGTTTTATTGTGTGACACGATGTACATTTATGGTTTATTGCATGACACATCACATGGTAGATGCTCGCTTTGTGGATCTTGCTACAAGAGACGCTGCAACTCCAAGAAATGAAAACCAGTTGCATGTATAAGCTGAACATGTACATTGTACAACTCCACAATGCATAAAATGTTTACAAATTCACAACACAATACATACAATAATGAGATGCAACAATCCTGCAACAAATCGACAAACTGACAACACAAAATCTTTAAATCTAGATGTACGATACGATTCAAAGGAATGAACAAACCAAAACCCTTCAAGCCACGGATCCCATACTATACACAATCCTTGTGTAAGTTTCTTGATGACAAGGAGAAAGAAAAATCCTTGAAATCCTCAAACCCCAATCAATTATCTCACCCAAAAAAGAGAGTAAGGAAAGTATAGTGTGTTTCTATGAAGTGATGATGTGTGTGTATGTAAATACAACAAATGTGTACAGTACATATAGAATGACTGCAATGATGATTTGATCAGCAATGGAAACTGTCTTACAAATTTTTCTAGAATTTGAAACCAATGGAACTTTGAGTTGTATGGAGAAAGAGGCTTGGCTTCTACTGTCTGGGACAAAGATCATTTCCCCTGAAACACATTTAAATCCCTGCATGCTCCAAATCAAAAGAAACCCAAGTAAGTTTTGGGCACTGAATGCAAAATGTCACAAGCTAGACAGCTAGAGTTTAATACATGAACAACATATAATTAAGCACCATGTGAAAATCATTTAAAATACGCTTTCAAATGACCAAAGACGCATATGACAGTGTTTGATGGAAAAATTTTACGAGTATTTAAAGATTTTAAATGCGTTTTTTAGTTCTTTTTAGAAAAGCACTTTAGCACGTTCTTCTCAAGGACACACTTCTAAGTGTTTTTATAGGAAGAATTTGAATTTTTAGTAAAATTTTAAACCTATTTGCAATTAAAACGCTTTCAAGTTTTCAACAAAGATACTTGTAGGCAGATAGGTATTTTACATAAGAAGTCTCAAGCGAGTTCTACATTAAATGAAAGAAGCAAGAGCTCAGCAAAGTTACCTCTAGTTGCTTTCCAACAGTGACGACTAGAGTCTCTGGCCCTGCATCAAACAGCAATGCAGAGCCTCCCTCTGATCGGACATTACACTGAGAGTGCTCAAGCGGAAGGTGAAGGCACAAAGCATGATCATCATCGCTCTCGCGCATGTGAATGTGACTGCCATTATTTATCTCATTCTGTAAAAAATTATTACTAGGGTTTTGCTCCATGGAATGATCTTGGTGATTGTATCTTAATAACTTTACATTTCCCATTTCACTTCCAATCTTCTCAAATTGCTTTTCTGCATTTCCATTAAAAACTTGGCTGAGCTGCTCAGCAATTGCCTGAACTTTTCTTGCAACCTTCTCCATATTGTTGCTGCAAAGCAGTGAACAACATAAGTTATGAACTTCACTAAACTAGGGTTAGTTGCAAATTGGGAAATTTTCCAAGTCTTCACATGAATATTTACCCGAGTTGCAATTCGCATATTAATTAGTTGCAGTTTCTCAACTATACTAACTCTGTTAAATTTTTCATCAAAATTTCGAGTTCCTACAACAACAATTTTCATGGAAAAATTAACTACATTAAGTGTAGGTGACAAATTTCAAGTAATCAACGTGACACAATACTTCGATAACAAATTGCAACTCGGAATTTGCAGTAAGAAGTCGTATTGGTGAACAACTTTTCTGAAGTGTTAATAACAATTGTATTTGCAAATTGCAATAACCAATAAGTGAGATTAGTGTTTCGTGGTGTTTAATTACCATAAGTCCCGATATATTTTGTCATCCGATACCTGCGGGCGCCATTTAATTTCCTCGCGATTCCCAATGCGTTCGATGAATCGTTTTCCGATTACTCCGTCGTTTCGGGAAACCGACTCGGCTTCCCGAACCACGGATCCCAACTCCTCGGCCGAAATCCCGTGATTGCTGATCCGAAACGCGCCGAACTGCCTGGCCGAGGCGAGAAGCCGGGCGAAGGACTCGGCGGAGAGCGATCGGAAGTCGACGACAGCCGGGAGTTGGTGACGTGTGCCGGAGCCCGAAGGCGGCAACGCGGTGAGCTCCGGGATCTGCAGGGACCTGTCGAGGAATTGGATGAAGTTCTGGTTGGCCGCAGAGCGGGAGCCTCTACCGGTTGGGATTGGAGAAGGAGGCGGGTCCGCCGTGGTTAAGCGGCCCTTGGCTCGCATCATAGCCATGGGGACGTAGGATAGCAGCCAACTGAATCGGAGGGTGATCAGTAATCAGTGGTGAGGTTGGTTGATCAGTTCTTCATATGAAGATAGAAAAGGTGGCACCTTTTTCTTTAATTTAATTTAATTTGATTTTAATTGCTTGCACGTTGGACTTGTTTGAGTTTGTGAGTTGTTAGTTTGGTGTCATGGGACCCATGGCCCATGGGCCTTAGTGGCGTTGGTGATGGTATTGACTCAAATTTTGTGAATTTATGCGAAACGGGTTGATCAGTGTAAAGTTTTAAAACAGAACAAAAATGGCTCAAACTAGTGTTTAAAATTTCTTCAATACGGCCGATATTCATGGAAGTATTCACAAAATCAAAGAAAAATGAAAGGTGAAGTATAAACTTCACCTCATATCAGTAAAACTTTTTAAGTTTAAGCAAAAGTTGATATATATCATCCAGATTTTTGACACATATGTTAAACATCGGAGAAACTCTTATATTTCGTCCAAGCCAATGTTTGAAAATCTCTAAAGTTTTATTTTAAATTTCAATCATTTCCATCGAAAACAACCGATATCAATATCCATATTCGAGTATCCGTCGATATTTTTATAAGCTTGCATATCGATATTCCTACTTATGCCAATATTTTTAAACACTGGCCCAAACAAAGACGCGGTGGCTTGTGAAGCAAAACTAGAAACATAGAAAGCTAAAACAACAGACTAGACTAAAAGAAACAGAGAATTTCAGCAGCAACCAACCTCACTAGGCTCCAGTACGAACCAGCGTGCAATTACGAAAACATTGAGGCTCACAATCATGGGGGAGAGCAACTGGCCATGGCTTGAGCCCAGAAGCATTATGGGTTAAGAGGAGGGCATGGGAGGCCGTCCCTCCAGAGAACATGAACCAAAGAAGATGGGCGACGCGAGACCCAAATACCATCGCTCATCTTCTTCAAGGCCAGTGAGGCAACTAGGTCAGCTGCATGATTCGCTTCATGGGCAATCCAACTCCCGAGAATCGATTGAAATTTTACACAAAAGAGAAGTCCACTCTGCAGAATTAGGTCGCAGGTTCATGACAATCATAATCTACAACGGTTATTATCATGAACCATAAAATCGTCTAATGGCTCGAATGTTTTAACAACCATTATTTATTTACGCACACACTAGTACATTGCAATTGTAAAGAAACTTGTTACTTGCCTCCCAAGGAAACTACAACTGCTAGCTTCCTGGTGTTTGAAACCCAACGTTCTCAATTGTGCCAACAGTCTTAAACAACCGCCTCTTGTTTACCTCCTCCACCAGTGACCTGTGCAACAATTGGCTGCGCACGTCAATGAGTGATTGAATCTTGGGTAATTTTCTTTCATGATGATGATTCAATATTTGAGGTCTATGGTTATCTAGTTGTGAATTGCAATGTTTGTAAGTATTTGCAACCCTGCTTTTTGAAGGACAAAACCGAGTAGATTTGTGAGTAGTCTTTCCGAAGCTCATGTCAAGGAGATCATCTTCATTGCCTGAGTAGTAACTTATGTTGGAGTAGTCGCAGGAGTCGAATGAACTCTGAGAACTCACATCATCATTCATAAACAGATCACCTACATTAAAATATATCAGATCAAATGCATTTGAAAAATATTAGACAAGCAAGACTAATTGAGTAGATATTTTTTTATTTTCATAAATGTACCTTGAAGCGAATCATGATTCTTGCAGTGAGAGCTCAAAGCATGAAGAGAATTTTGGGATGAAGAGCAGGAAGAGAATGCGTAGAAAGGATGATGGGTGATACCACCATTATTATCATCTTCTTCTTCATAGTTAAAGCTGTGCTGATGAGGATGATAATCTCGCAGTGAGCCACATTTCTTACCACCCGCAATCAAAGAAGATATCTCGTTTTCTATCATCCCTGCGATCTCTGGTGGTTCCCAGTCATTGATTTCTAATTCTTTCACCATCTCCGTTGCTACATCAATCGCAGTGTCGTTCAAAATGTCGAAGGGAAAGTATATGTTCCTAGCATCTTTCCCTGTAAGAAAACATCACAAATACAGAAGATTACATACTCTTAATTTAAGGGTCTATTTCAATCTACATGACCAGTTAGTCATATAGTGTAATATTTAAATTAGGGTTGAGGATTTACCATCCAGGTCAGAAATTCGAACTTTGAGAGTAATAGTATCATCCTCTAGATTCGTTTTTCCAGTGATGATCATGTTTGTGCTTCTTTCCAAATCAACCTCAGCGGCAAAATGTAGCTCATCCTCCTCATCCTCTGCCTCCGCGACTGGATCATTATCGGGCATTAACTTCAGAATTGGGATTCTTGGGGAAGACGCTAGCTCTCTGTCATCAGAGGCTAGAAAAGGGTCTAGCAATAGCTCATGTGCCGGCAACCTCTTTGAAACATTCTCCAGACACTTCCCTACAAATCGTTGAGCCTCCAAATCTTCAATATTGTAGAATGCGTTTGGTAGCTTCCCCTGAAAGCAAGTCACATAATATAACATGTCATATATACATGTGTCATGCAATGTCACACATTCACATTGCTGAGCAAGTGAAGACTGAAGACGAAACTTACTGAAGTAACTTTTTTGTAAATTTGGGCAGGATTTGAGCACTCGCTATAGGGATATTCTGAAGTAAGCATTTCCAACACACACATGCCAAAGGCATATATGTCCACTAGCTCATTGTATTCCTCATCGTACAATTCAGGCGCCATAAATTCTGGTGTACCTGATGAAACAGAAGCAAATTAAAATTGAAAAAATTAGGACGATAATCGGAGAGATTTAGTTCAATATCATTACCTATGACACTGTGGGCGTGTTGCGTACCACGAAGAATAACAGCCAAGCCCAAATCACCAATCTTGACTTGCCCTAGGTGGCCATTAACAAAGATGTTGTCACACTTGAGGTCTCTGTGAATCACAGGTGGATCAAGTTTGTGCAAATAAGCCAGACCACGCAAGATCTGTCGGGACCAATTTTTCACTGCTCCAATATTCACTCGCTGGTAATTCTGTCTGTACCTGTTAAAATTAATATTGGAGTGTCAAATTCGCTACCCTTATTTTTCGTGTGTGCACAAATAACTTAAACTTAGAAGTTCCAGTTGCCATATTTTACCATGATCAACTACTACCTTAACACATTTAAGTCATGTTGTGTGCTATTAGTTATAAGTGGTGAGGTTAATTAATTACTCTCTGAGAGTGCCGGAGGTGAACATTTCGGTGATGAAGTTGAAGGTTTGGCGATTAACATCGATCCAAGATGTGTAGTATTGGATGATGGAATCATGATTGAGGTTCTTGAGGAGGTTGACCTCGGAGTATAGGCGCTGAAGTTCATCCGGTGAACTAAAGACATCATTAAGCTTGACTTGATTCCAAGCCACCTCCATTCCGAGGACCTCATCAAATGCCTTGTAAACTGTCTTCATGGCTCCTTTGCCAAGCATTTCCCTGAACTGCTTGGAAAGAAACATCAATTAAGAACAAAACTGCCCTCTTAATTAGCGCTAATGATCTGACTAATTATCATCCAAATTAATTAATCCATTTCCAAGTTTCCCTGGAAGCATGTCTTTACAAATAGACACGCAGGACAAATTTAGTGTAGAATATAAAAATCAATCAGGTTGCATCATCAAATTGGGCTAATTTAAGAATAAAACTGATCGGATGACACACTTTCCGTTTTAAATCAGTTTAAATTAATATCATGTACAAATTAACATGAAAGTTTGACTCGGCAAACGAACTAACTTATTTGACCATCCATTTGGTTCATAAATTATATTCTTGTTCTTCTAAGATATTGGTTAATGAAAATATAAACTTAATGTTAATGTTAATGAGTATCGAATTCAAAAATTAATCATCATATGGTAATTTTCTTGCATGCAAATATGTGTAATCCTTATTCCCTATATAAATTTCTAAAATAGTTTAGTAGAAAAACATATATATAACTACAAATTATACTTCCCAAGCAAATAGTTAATTAAAGACCATATAAAAAATAGAAATAGTAAAAGGAACTTACACGTCCATAGCGACCAGATGGATCTGTTTCAATGTAAGCAGGTGATTGTGGCCTGCCTCCATTGGCAGACCTGCTTCCGATCCGGCTGTTGTTCTTGTTCATGGTTGAGAACTAATCAAACAACCCTCTGAAACTCTCCGACCACAAACAAGTCCCAGCAGCTTTTCACTTGATAATATACTACGTACGCAATACCTAGTAATTATAAACTTATAATTCAACACTAACTAACTTACTATGATGCTTGTGGAAGACTTTTCTCTACGTGCTAGGAAATCCGAGGCTTTCCCTCATGATTTTCATAAGAGAAGACTCTATACAGCAACCAGAAAAGCCTCGAGTAATCAACGCTGAGCATGATCCAAGCCATTTCCACAACACCACACGATCTTTCGAAGTTTTTGGTAACCATTTGGGTAGAAGATGAAGGTGTACCAAGGAATTTAAATATAGAGGAAGAGAAGAAGATCCGATTCAAATCAAAGATATTTTTTCAGAAAAGGACAGACTAAATGGAGCAAACTGTTGAGATGTAGGGTGTGGTGGGGAAGAGAGAATAATATTTGTCAACTAATGTACTGGAAATAAATTGAACCTAGCTTGTGGAGGAGGACTATCTTCCCAATAATATCAAAAAACTTCGAGTATCAAATGAGCACTTGTTGGATTTTGGCATGGAACTGGAATATTAATCCTGAACTTGAAGAATCTGTGGCTGTGCTTTGATGGTACCATTTGTGGATGTAAGAAAAACCCTAATATCAATCAGAATTAAGGAAAAATTTTTGAGATTTGATTAGTTTGAGAGAGACTTTTGAGTTTGGAAAGATCTGGGAACCTTGCAAATTTTGCAAATAACAATAATAAGGATAGAAAAAAGGTGGGGGTGGAAAAATGTTGGGATATGGGTTCATGTTATAAACGAAAATAGGAGGGACTTTTCTTTGTTCCTTTTTTCCCTTTTTTTTTTTTTTTTTTTTTTGTTTGGGGTCCCCAATTGACGGAGCTAACGGAATTTGAAGGAGTCCAAATTGGCCCCAAAAGGGAACAGGAACATTGTTGCTGACAGTGTTAACTGGTTTATATTGTTTAAGTGAGTGATTGTATTGGGAAGGGGAAGTCTAGGTTTTTCTGTGATGGAAACTGCACAGTATTGAGAGCAGAAAGATTCAGAACACTCAGATGCCAGGTCTTCAATTTTGAGGCTTTTAATTCACTCAGTAACATTAAATACCTCATCTCGATTGTGTTTACCCTAGGACTTCGACTTTCTTTTTTGGTTTCTAACTTAAACCCTAAACCTTATCTGATTTTTGTAGCTTCGTACATAGTTTGAGAGGAGGGAATTGTCAAGATTTCAGAACAACGAGTCATCGGCTCACTCCCAATCATGCTAATATTGTTCTCCAGCTTCCATATTTCCACTCGCAAGGCTGATAGGTGTGAGAGAATTATCACAAAAGACTTTGGTGGTAGCAATACACCATTCATATATATATTGTAATTTATTTTGTTAGTTCTTCGACGTGAATTTTTTTTTATTCTTCAAAACCCGTCATTAACTTCAGTTACACATAGCTAGAGCCTGGAGGCTGGCTGACACTTACATGTAATCGGAGATTGATCTCCATCTCTATTTTGTCTCACTGCATTCATCACATGACTTGAGAATATATTTCTGATTATGCATAAGTTTATCTTTTGAAGTTGGACAAGTAAATATTGCTTAAGATGGAGCCTGCAGCCTCGTTGGCACTAATTAAATACAAGTATACAATGTGTGTTCCTTTAAGTATTCAACAAATCTTTTATAATTTATTGAAAAAATAAAATGCAAAATGAAAGTTATCTATTTTCTGTTTAAGTAAGTTGCAACTTAGGTTGGTGTCTAGGTGGGTGCCTAGGGAGTCTAGGTGGGTGCCTCAATAGGTCTAGGTGTCATTTCTTAATTTTCAAATGCCTAAGCATTAATCAGGGCGGCGGTCAACTGCCTAGGCGGCACTAGGTGGAGATTTTTAGAACAATGATTAAACATAAACATATAATATTGTAATGGTTAAAAATTCTCAACCACGAAATAAGAAACCCTAACCCATTTTTGCTGAGGTACTACTTTGTGATGTGGTTGGCAAAGAATTATCACAATATTTTATTTTCAAGTTTTCCATTTTGATCGAACACACTCATCTTGTTGAAAGAGTCCGACCACCATTTTTTATTCTTATCTTCTCTCTGTATAAATCCTTGTTGTGGGGAAAATTTTCAATGTGTCGGAAACATGGTCCGGTACACCAAGTGTCATAACAATTGGATAGATTTTTTTCTTTCAAGTTTCTAACTAATTATATTATTATACTTGGTATACTAGATCATGTTCTCAGCACACTGCAAAATCTCTCCCAGATGTGCACTAAAATTGATTTTTAAAAGTAAAATATTTGTTGACATCATAAGCTTTGTCCCGAATGTGTGATTTGTTACAAGTGTAGGGTTGACCTTAATTACTTGTTTTATTAGTAATAAACCCTTACTTTATATTTTATTGTCGATAAAGGTTGAATAATTAACACAATAATACATTTTGAGGAAATTAAATAATATGTAGCATGTGTGATGATACAATTTGCCCAAATTTGTGAACAACTTAATAATTCAGAAAGCATAATACAATTATATATGCACATAATGTTCTTATATGCTAGATCAAATGGCATACGCCTTGTAATCGTTTGACAAAAATACGTTGTGCATGCACTTAAAAAGGATTCAAAAGAATATTGCAAAGAATGAGAATTAAAATAAAAAATGGAGCTTTTTATTTAGTTAATTTCGATATATGAAAATTTTAAGTATGTTGGATTTAATTTTGAGTCGCTAGATCTTTTTTTTACTGTTAGATTTGCTCGTATTCGATCTCAACTGTTGAATTTAATATATTTATAAATTTAATTTAATTTTTTTAAAATTGAATATAGATTGTTGTTTCAACCAACAATCCAACCACTTGGGCGTCAAATAAAAAAAATAGTTGTGGTGTTTCCCTAAGCGACCAATTTTACTTAAAAAAATAAAAAATAAAAGCGTTAGCAACTAGGTCCCAGCTAGTAACATTGACTCATTTTCTAGATTAAATTTGGCCCAAAAATAATTTTTAACCTAAAATTTTTTTTTAGCTCAATAATTAGAGGAACTTTGGTTGAATTTAAAACTTAAATTTTGCATCTAACCCAACCATTGAAGTTGGTCTTATGAAAAATAAAAATACAGACTTTATAAGAACCACTGCATATACATTTTTATGTCATCGACGGACTTGATAATTGAAGCTGTTTTATATCGTTTGGTGAACAATAATTGGAATAGTCAGTGGCTAATCTAAATCTACACTTCCCAAGTTGTGGGTTCTATACCAAGTACCCACTTCAGCAATCTTGATTTATTCATTTTTTGGGGCAAGAAAAGAAAATAGAACTAAGAAATTCATAGATTTAAATAAAAAGCACAGTAAAATTTCTAAATTCAAATTATTTAGAAGTAAGATTAAATTTAGGGCATGTGGTCGATTGCTCCCGTAATTAAAAAAATCTAACCTATGCTAACCTCAAAATTTGAATTTTTCTTTTTGAACCTAAATAAGTCCAGACAAGCAAGTGGTGGATTGTTATGGTAGTTAGGACTTTCTTGTTTAGTCCACTGCGTCACGCATTCACACTCTCGTCTTATCTTGGTGTAGTTTAAACTAAGAATATCGCTTGATTTTAATAAATAAACAAAAAAATAGCCCAGGCAAAGAAAAGGTCTCAAAAAATGAGAGAAAGGATAAAACATTGCTTTAAACAATAAATGAATTAAAACTAAGAGAAATTATGTAACACAATGTTGATGGTTGAATGTTTCCTGATCCTGCATCACCTTAATATTTTAGTCCGATAATATGACCGTCTGCATTGCCCGCACAGTAAGCATAATAGCTGGAAGGCTACAAATATATATACTTGCCTCAACTCCAAATTCGTCAAAAATCAATCATGATTTTATGTGAAAGCTTCCATTATATATTCTCTCGTCAAACTAATTCACTACATGACAAGTATTTAACTGACAAACGATGTATACATTATAATTGTCTATACGATTGGTGCTGCCAATGAAACTAAATATTGGTTTGTACAAGCAATACTAGGAAGGAAGGAATTTAACATATGATTTCAAATGCAGGGATAATGCTCCTTTAGCCGGCTCAAGCTACTAGCCCCTAGCATGTGAATGGCCATAAGCTCATATAAGATAATGCTATTCACACACTTATTTTCATCTCACACGCACTTTTGTTAATTTTTGTTTATTGATCTTCTCTAATATATTAGACCCAACAGCTGAAAATTGAGATAGGAGTGTGAGAAATCAATGAGTGTGTGGATAGCACCACCTTTATACAAAACCGAATACGAACTTTTAAATAAAATATGAATTGGACATATACTAAAAAGTCAATAACAGTTAACCATACCATGATTTATCCATGGACCGCCGACTATTTATTATCCCGTATATTTTTTATTAAGAGTTTGTAACCGGACTCTATTTGTAGACATTTGCCATAGATAAATGCATAAAAGTTTGAACCAAAATCATTTTCGTTTGATTTTTTCTTTCCAAAGGCCGAATCTCAGCACATCAAATTGACTCTGCTATTGCTAAAGGACCAAGATATTTCAATACCCCAAAGTTATGCCACAAAGTCGACCAAGTGGACGCCATTAAAAGGAAACAATTAACCATCCAACAGGCCCTTTTGCACCACTGAATCGACAATCTGTCTTACTTAAAAGGATTCTGAATGTAAGTTACATCAAGCATCAGCAACAATATTTCGAACAAGCGTTTCGTACAATCACCTGTGGGGGCAACGGCGAGAACAAAACCTGGGGAAAAAGGATTAACCAAACCAACCTATACATGAACTACTCGGTGCAGCGCACAGCTATCAAGATTTTATAGGGTGTAAAACTTATAACTTGAAATGTACAAATGGCTTCCAACGAACAGAATATCTAACTCCATATGTAACGCTTCCAAAAAAAGTTTGCGGCAGAGCCATATAAGCAGAGAACAGGCTCAATCCGGTATGTTAGCAATTACTGTAATTACTCTTTCATTCTACCAACCTTATAAATAGAGCATCACTCACGCTGCTGTCAGGCCGATAAAGGAGGGAAATCTTCTTCATCTTTCAAACGGTATGACTGTGCAGCGATCCTAAATGTCCAAAAACAAAAGGTTAAACGGAGTCCTATCTGTGTTCACTATCGGTGACTAAGAATTCTTAAAAACAAATGAAATTGTAATACCTATCCTGATCTGTAACCAACTCAGCTTTTGTCAACTGCATCCTTGGTGATAAATGGTCACTGCTTGAGTTCTGACTGAATGATGAGCCAGCGTTTGTATGTTTGCCATTTGCAGGTCCCTCTGGTGGGGGATGCCCCATTGCCCCAAATTCTACAACTTTCTCAGAGGAATGAATTGAACCATTCGCATTAGGGTGTACTTTCCTTCTAGGGGAACCAGCGGGGCTATCTGAAGACCCAGCTTTTCCCCCACCTTTATGAAGAGACATTTGTAGTTGTGACAGATCACGACTGCTTCTGTCCGACGTATAATTCTCTGAAGATGGTATCATGGCATGGCCATTGTTACGATGAGACCTCAGCGGTGCTTGATTTCTTCCCCTTGGCGTCACAGGCCTATCTTTGAAATGATTCTGCAAAATTTTATGCATAAAAGCACTTCAGATGAAAAGGCCCAGCAACTGAAACATAGCTGAAAAGAGAAACTGCAAACGACCAGCAGATTGACAAAAATCTGGCCCTTAAATTTTATGACTTCAAGAAATTTCAGAGGCTTAGAATGAGTATACCGTATTGGGAAAGTACGTTCCGGTTCCTCGTGGCTTTGGCAACTCCTCCATGCCAAAGGTTATGCCATTTGGCAACATTGGTGGGTTCATCGGATAGAATGGTGGCCTAGGGACAACACCATTGACATTCATATGGGAAAATGCATTCTGCCTGAGCTGCACTGACTCTCGAACTGCATCCCATGGCTTCTTGCCCTGAAACTGTGGGTGCACCGGAGGTGGCATCATGGGAGGAATTGCCACATTTAGCTCACAGTCATAACGCCGACGCCCATAGTTTAGACTATTTAAATGACTACCGTAATCCCCACTCAGATCTGTTAAACAGTTATAAGGTTTGGGACTTCCAGCGGTACCACTTGACATTGGATAATAACTAGGATAGAAGTAATCGGAGGAACACACAACAGAACTCAACCGTGACGGATGGAGCTTAGATCCAACAGGAGATGGAGCTTCCTGATTACAACCTAACTGATTCTCATCCTGGTTTCCAACAAAATTATCAGCTGAACCAAAGTTTTCTGGCAATTGCTGATCTTGATTTCCATTGCCAATGTCCCCATCCTCAGTTGATGAGTGAGAGGACCAGAGATGAGGTGCATGCTGTACTTTACCTAAAGGAGATATACTCAGTTCACAACTGGACGGCAAAGGATATTGAGCATCATTTGAAATTGTAAGACCCTGAAATCTGGAGGTAGCAAGGTCTTTTGCATCCCCTGTAAGACGCCTTTCGGAAAGAGCAATTCCATTTGGGGAACTGTCCTCTTCCAATAACATTGTTGGGGATGCTACCCTTGTACTGCTTTCATGTGGTCCATTAACATCTTGATCAGGTTTCATATCAGTTTCATGCGGTCTAGTCAGACCTTGACCAGGTATATGAGCACTTGTGACTTCACCATTCCCTGATCTCTCATGATTTAACCCACATTCCCCAATCATGCCACTAGAATAGGCAGACTCCAATTCATAAAGTGTCTGATCTTCTTGTGACTCTGTACCTACCGATAACGGCACATTACCATACCCCTCATATATGGACCATGGGGCAGGATCTTGGACATCAGGCCTTTGTCCGCCTCCATGTCTGTCCAATGTGTTTGCAAAAAACTTTCGGATCTCATCATCTATGTTTACTTCTGGCTGAGAAAGAATGCGCCCCAGTTTACGAGCACCATATGTGAAAGCACTTCTTATTCGGTAAAAGTTACCTGTATTTAGGAATGCAGGTTGTCATCAACTAATCAACAGAAAAATCCGACAAAAAAAACAGAATAACAAAACGGGAGGACTATAGGGACATTAATTCACCTTTACTCACACTTCGGCCAAGGTTGTTATTGTCTTTAAGCGGATCAACTATGTTAAGATGCTTTGGTTGAAATGTTCTATGGTTTGTCTCATATCCTCTTGAAGGAACTGAGAAGCTTTCCACACATCCCTTGAGAAAATCATTACTCAGCAATAGATCACCGCCACCATTTTCCGGGGTCTCGACTACAAAATGGATCACAAAGACTCTCAATTAAACACATTTGCCCATACAGCATGGCACCAATACAAAAAGATGTTGCTCACCCAAGAGATCTGGAAGAGAAGATAAACGAACAGGACCACTCAAGCTGATACAATAGCTGTCCCAATCAAATTTACTAAAGTAGTCCAAGAATTTATATAGGACCTATAGAACATTGAACAGCGAGTTAAATTTATGCCATAGGTATGGAGGATACTAGTGCTAAGGCATTAAAGCACTCACTGCTAGAGGACCATTCAAAGATGAATGGAAGAGGTGGAAAATATACAGAACCAAAGTCTCCAAAGCATATGTCGAAATCAAACCATGATGGGCACCAAGAATCCGGCTCTCATAATAGCACCAGGCTTTAATTAGTATGATACTGCGTTTAAAAAGATGGTCTTTGCTAATGAGGCGATCAACCTATGCAATAAGAAGCATCATGGATATGATTAGCGAAGCTAAAGAACAAGGGATATAAATTCCATAAAAATCACAAACCACTCAGATCACCAAAAGCATAACATAAGATCAAAAGTAAAACTATGACTTGAAAAGGATAGAAGAGGTTGGAGTCACCGCTCAACTGAGTAGCAATTGAATAGCATTCAAGGTTATTGGTTATAAGGCATAAATCAACATAATCTTTCTACCGAAGACTTGAAAAACAAGTTTCATTAGACAACTCAGAGCTTCCAATAAAAGAATCCATTTATACAATCGAAATCTGGAACATTCAATTCATATGTAACAAATCGAACTTCATTTTCAGTTCAGCTCTGTATGAATGACTACCTGCTCAAGGAAGCATAGTGTGCATAGCCCTCCTAACTGATTGAAGGAAATATCAACCACAATATTTTGCACAAGGCACTTTACAAGCTTGACCTGCCACAACAAAACCAAACATTCTTTACATAGGAAAATCAAAACTTGAGTTAACTAGAATCAAAATAATGACTAATCACATCGACTCACATGTAGTAATTTAATTTAAAGGAAAGGCAATTACACAACATAAACTCAACACAAAAACTTGACTAGACATGCATGGCAGGATCAACACTAAGCTGTAACTTATACCTATCATCAATCTAATAAGTTAAGGGGTAAAAGCTAAAAACCTCTGCCCGAATCAACTGGACATCTTTCACCATAAACTCAGCAGCCACATTTTGATCTTCCCTTTCAAGGACAGCGCAGACAGCATTGGCCAGCGCCTCCTCCACATTCATACCACCAAAAGCAGTCAAATCAATATCTCCATCAGGCAGATAGGTCTTTAGAGGTACAGACCCAAATGGGAACACCTGCAACGATTTAAGTAAAATCAATATGCCCGCGTGGTTACACCCCCTCCACCTCCCGACAAATATCAAATAGGGTCATGACATCATAAGTTTGTCATCGAAAAGACCATTGCTGAGTTTGAGAAAAATCAAATGGTATAATGAGAAATTGAATTTGCAAGCACCCAACTCACTCGAAGTAAAAATCTTCGAAGCTATACCGACTTACATTACCTATTCACATAAAACGTAGATATAATTGCGGATTTAAGTAAACTTTCGAGCTAATCATACAAACGATGTAGACCATTTGAACCAATGAACTACATTACTTGTAACTAAACTCAAGGTCCAAGTTTTGTGTAGCTAAAGGAAGAAATTTTCAACTTTTCGAACAATACAATCAAATTTAACGGCTTTAATCACCATAGAGGTTAAACTACCGAGTGCTTCGGTCTTCTGTCCTACATTAAATTCTTCTACAAAACAAACAAATCTTTGCAGCCCAATACATCGTACGGCACCAAATTCAACTTCTTTCATTCACATTCGTATGTATGTACGGAAGACGTATTTATTTGGTACGTATAAAAATACTGACCTCGCAATCAAGACAACTTTTGATGAGCCTCTGAACGTATTCGATGACCGCCTTCCTCCTCCTCTCAGACACGTCAGTGGGCTGCACCTGCGCTATGACCCCCTGCGTCGCCTCCTCCGCCCTCAGCCAGTACTCAGCGCTAACAGCCGTCGGCGCAGAAGCAGAAGCAGCCGCCGCCGCCTGTTGATTCGATGAAAATTGGGAAGGAGGTGATGACGACAACGACGATGACGAAGAAGCCCTCTCCCTCTCCTCCAACACGGCGCCGTTTGGTTCAGGCGACCAATCCCGAAGATCGCCCATGAAATAACAGAAATTTACCGAAAAATCACAAAAAAACCGAACCGGAAATCCTCACGCCGCTTGACCGTACAACCATAACGACGACAACAACGGTGGTGTCGGCGAATTGCAAAAATCGAAGGTTGATTTGGGCGATCAGATTTTGCAGATTGGTACGGACGGTTGGGCAAAACGACGGTGTGATTGGAACGAAACGACTTGCAATTTGAGGTTTTGGGGAGACGAAGTGGTTATTAATTTTTTTTTTTTTTTTTTTTAATTTCTCAGATGGATTCCAAGTGATACTATGTACGAGCAGGTTTGTCGATTTTATGTTTTTTATGAGGTTTTTATTTTTATTTATTTATTTTTGGGGAATGTTAAATAGACAAATTTAAATTTTTTTTTTCTTATTTTTTTTAATTTTTTATAAAAGGATAACAACTACTAGTAAGTTATGGTTATTCATCTTGTAGGGTCCGGAGAGGCTATTGGGGAATTTTACCCTTTCATTGGCCATAGTCAAGCATCAGAAATGCAAATTATATGATATGTCATAAATAAAAAATAATAACGTTAATCAACATTTAAGTAATCTACAACCACATTATATGACTTACAAAATTTGGTCTAAAAGCTGGCCTTTTTAGCATTACTCTTTTGTTTGTTAGATTCTACTTTCATGCTACGTAGTATCAAATACAACAAGCATTGAATGATCTAAATTTACGAGACCCCAATAAACGTAATCTAAACCAATTTTAATCTTCCAAATTCCAATGCTCATAATATTTAATGGTACGTAACAAAGAAGAATTTTCTATTTTTTAGGGAAAACTTTAAATCATAAAAAACGAAAATGTAGTTGTTTCCATTGTCGTTTGTCCATCTCTCTTCTTTCTTTCATTCACACTTCCTTCTTGTGTCAAAGGGTTTTCTTTGCCAATTTACATTTTCAGGCGCCAAAGGTCAACATTTTACCCTCCAAGTTTTGAAGAGTAGAGGTACAACTCGGACGGATTGTAAGAGCGAGATTAAACTAATTGTAACTTACTTTTTAAACCACTTGGTACTATGATTTTAATATTATCTAAATTAGAAATTGGGATTCAGTTTGGGCCAACAAGGCCTCAAATCAACTTAACCAGAAAAAACAATTTGGTTGAGTCTAGTTCGGGTAGGTTTTATCCTAATATAAACCTACTTAGCCGTTCGCGCTTGGTGAGTATAGATCGACCCAGCCAAGTTGGAGTAACATTATTTTCTTTTTCATTTCGTTCTTTTGATAAAAACAATATTCGAAACTATTCTAGTTTAAGTAGAGTGAAATCATAGTTCGATCTCTTCCCAATATGTAGATATGACATTGTTTGCAACTTTACAAGATGCCACCTTGTGACTCATTGCATAACATAATCTTATTGCATTTTGACGTATTAGGACGGAGGTAACATATGGCTCAAATCGTTGCCTTTTGCCTTTCTTGGTAGAGTCACTTGTTTTTTAATTCTTTCGTTCCTTTTAACCCACGTGGTAAGATGATGGAAATACTAAAGAACAAAATAGAATCCCACGTTTAAATCCCTCGACGTGAACGCTTCACTTGGTATAATATCTTGAATTTAATTATAAGCTATATTTTATACTAATTTGTATAATTGGAAGGTAGATGGTTAGAATTCCAAACGTATTGGGTTAAAGAAGTAGACACTGACTATCTGGCAATACACTAATGAACCCGAGACATTATGAATTGAAAATAAAACCCTAACTATCTAGACAATTCACCACTTACAAACCTATCACACCAAATTGTCTTTTGTTGATTTTAATCGAAAAATTAGTTTTTGTTTTTACTATGTGGATTGAACACAATACATATCTTCGTGAAATAACAAGAACTTCACCTAGTATTCTTGCATTATTATATATAATAGAAATGCTATTAATTTGTTATAGATGATGGTTAGCATAAGTTCCAAATTTGATAGCTAGTGATCCTAAAGCATAATGAGAGGGTAATGAGGGGTTGGAGGAAGGCAACATAGAGGATCAACTAGAGTCTAGACTCTACAGTTGCCCAACCAACCAATAAATGGAGAAATTTTCAGTGTAAGAATATGATTCGGTAAATCAAAATTTATAATACAAATGGTTGAATTTTTTTTTCAAATGTCAAACAATTTGTATTATGACATTTAGTGTATCAAGCCGTGTTCCTAATAATAAGGAGAATGACAAGTCGTCCAATGCAGTTACTGTTAAATAGTCTGATAAAGCTAAATGTAATTAGTTCTGTTAGTAACTGTAATTAGTTAAGGTAGTTGAGGGTATTCTTGTAACTAGCCTAAGGCAGCTAAGGCTATATATATTCACATTTGTGTAACTGATTTATTCATTCAATACAATTGGAAAACTTACAGAGAAAGTTTTCTGTTTCTATATGGTATCACGTCATTCTACTTCATAGCACCGACCTTCTCTTTCGCTCGTCAAATCGATCGATTCTTGATCGATTCTCTCTGATTCTTTGATTTTTGTCTTCGAGCTCTCTTGAATCTTGATCTCTTTAAGATATGGCTGCTCAATTTGACTCGCCACCAACTGGATCATCTTCTCTGATCATCTCTCATTCGGTCCAAAACCCTAATTCTTCCTCTAATCCCATTCATCTAAACTTGTATACCTCTCTTACGATTCACAACATTGGCAGTATGGTGCCGATCAAGCTGAAACGATCCAACTATCTGCCATGGCGAGCACTGTTTGCTCCAATTTTCCGCCGATACAAAGTTCTTGGTATTATTAATGGCATTGAGATTTGTCCTTCACCATTCTTGCATGATCGCTCAATGAACCCTACCTTCGAGGATTGGTATGAAAAGGATCAAAATCTCTTGATCTGGCTTAATTATACCATCTCAGAAGAAATCATTCTATTCATAGTTGGTGTTTCTTCTTCTCACGAGCTTTAGGTAAAGCTTGAACAGCGCTTTGGTGGAGTTTCGGAGGCTCACTTTCACCAATTGCGACCGCGACTCCATTCAATTTAGAAAGGATCTCAGTCCATCTCTGATTATCTTCAACAAATCAAGGAAATTGCTGATTCCTTGCAAGCTGCTGGTGCCTCAGTGTCCGATCGTGACCTAATTGCTGCTACACTTCATGGATTGCCTGATGAATTCGAATCCCTTATTGATTTCATCATGTTGTGGTTATCTTCTACATCCATTGACGAACTCCATGGTCTCTTACTCACCAAAGAGTTGTCTATGGCTCGCCGCAGAACTATTATTTCATCCTCTGTCACTGAGCCTTTTCAAGCATTCTCAGTGCAATCTCAACCTCTCATGCTTCCTACTCCATCTGCTTTTGTTGCTCAGAATCAACCACTTCACTCTGCTTCTCGGTTTAACTCAAATCGTGGTAAGCCATCTCGAGGTAATTTCTCCTCCAATCGCAGCAATCGCAATTTTCATAATCCTCGTGGTACTTTCACTACAAATCGTGGCAATCGAAATTATCAAGGCTCTCGCAATTATCAAGGTTCTTCCTCTTTCAAAGTTCCTTGTTAGATCTGTGGTTCCACCAGTCATGAGGCAATTAACTGCTTTGATCGTATGAATTTGGACATCTGTGGTCGAATTCCTCCAACCAAACTTGCTACTATGTGTGTGCATCATTCAGTTAAACCTTCTCAGCCCTGGTTAATTGACTCTGGCACCACTTCCCACATCACCAATAATGTAGCCAATATTTCTTCTCCTACTCCCTACACTGGAGAAGACAAAGTCTACATTAGCAATGGTAAATGATTGTCTATCCATAATATTGGTTTATCATCTCTGCACACTCCTTATAATTCCTTTAAGCTGAGAAATGTTTTACATGTTCCTTTCATGAAACATAATCTCTTGTCTGCTTATCAGTTTCTTAAGGATAATAACTGTTCATTGACTCTTGACCCTTATTCAAGGATCACATTTCGGGGAAGATGTTTTTGCAAGGACCTGTTGTAGGATGGTTTCTATCCTCTACAAGGTTCCACCAGTCTCCACACTTCTCCACCTTTAGCTCTTCTCAGCATCAAAACACCTGTCACAATATGGCACAAGCGCCTACGACATCCTTCCTCCTCCATTTTCAGAAGGGTTATATCTAACAATAATCTTGCATACCAAGGCAAGAAGAGTGTTGATTTTTTCTGTTCAGATTGTGCACTTGCTAAGAACCACAAGCTTCCTTTTGGAGTGGCTTCTTCATCAACCACTCAAAGTCTCCAACTTCTGCATTATGATCTATGGGGACCTGCATCGGTTACATCTAATAGTGGTTTCAAGTATTACCTACTTCTTGTTGATAACTTTAGTAAATATAGTTGGTTTTTTCCATTGAAGTCCAAATCTGATGTATTTTCTACATTTGTTACTTTCGAAAGCTATGTATAAAATTTCAGTGGAAATAAAATCAAGATTCTGTGCTTAGATTCATGGGGTGAATTCATTAGTCACTCCTTTGCTTATTTTCTTAGTGCACATGGTATATTACATCAATTAAGTTGTCCTCATACTCCTGAACAAAATGGTTGTGCAGAGAGGAAGCATAGACATCTTGTTGAGACAGCTCGAACATTACTTGTTGCCTCTCATGTTCCTCAAGTGTTTTGGGTTGAAGCATTCTCCACTGCAATATATCTTATTAATAGGCTTCCTATTTTTGGTCTTACAAAGTCACCTTGGGAACTTCTCTTTAATCAACACCCAGATTACTCTAAACTGAAAGTTTTTGGCTGCCAATGTTATCCCTGGCTTAAACCTTACATTCCCAGCAAATTGGATACTAAAAGCAAAAGTTGTGTGTTTTTGGGATATAGTCTACAACATAAAGGCTATAGGTGTCTTGATCCCATGACAAATAGGATCTACATATCAAGACATGTTGTCTTTGATGAACAATCTTATCCATTTAAATCATTGCTGCTTCATAGTTCCAATTCAGAGAATTCATCTCCCGCATATTCTCCATCCTTAGATATTCACTTCCACAAATACTTCTTAAGTTCTCCTACAGCTAGTCACTTTTCAGACTCACCATGTAATTCTGTACCTAATCCTATCACTCAGATCTCAACTTCACCTGAGAGTCCTTCATGCAATCAGTCAGTGGATAATTCTCACAATTCTTCCAGCTCTGTCTCTCTCAGAGACTTCTCTCTAGTGCCTATTCAGACAAGTCATCCACCAATTTCTGGGAATACACATCTTATGATTACAAGATCCAAGGCTGGAATATACAAGTCTAGAGCTTATTCAAACATCCACTTCCTGTTGATCTTGAATTTGTTCCCAGTACTTATTTGCAAGCATCAAAGCATGCTCACTGGAGAGCTGCAATGCAAGCTAAATATAATGCTTTAATAACCACAGATACTTGGTCTCTTGTTCCCTCTCATCCTTCTCAGAATGCAGTTGGTTGTAAATGGGTTTTTCGGGTCAAGAAAAATCCTGATGGAACCATTGACAGACACAAAGCCCGCTTGGTGGCAAAAGGCTTTCATCAGCAAGAAGGAGTTGATTTTCAAGAAACCTTTAGTCCTGTTGCTAAACCAGTTACCATTCGGATTCTTTTTACACTTGTTGTCCAATATAATTGGTTCTTGAACCAATTAGACATTAGCAATGCATTCCTTCATGGAGACTTAAAGGAAGATGTTTACATGCACCAACCTCCAGGTTTTATTGATCCAAACTCTCCTAATTTTGTTTGCAAACTGAAGAAATCCTTATATGGTCTTAAACAAGCTCCTCGATCTTGGTTTGATAAATTGTTTCAAGCCCTTCGTACATGATAAATTGTTTCAAGCCCTTCGTACACTTAGGTTTCACCAATCCCAATCTGATGCTTCTTTGTTTGTCCTTAATTGACCTCAGTTAGTCATTGTCCTTGTTTATGTGGATGATATCTTAGTTACTGGACCCAACTCTCAACTCTGTCAACAGTTTATACATAAACTTAGCACTCAGTTTCCAGTAAAAGATCTTGGTCCTTTACACTATTTCTTGGGATTGGAAATTCACAACCCAACTCTCAACTCTGTCAACAGTTTATACATAAACTTAGCACTCAATTTCCAGTAAAAGATCTTGGTCCTTTACATTATTTCTTGGGATTGGAAATTCACAGATCTCCCAATGGACTCTTTCTCTATCAGACCAAGTACTTACTTGATCTCCTCAAGAAAAAAAATATGGAGGGTGCCAAACCTTGTTGCACTTCTCTCGGTTCTAAGAAACTGGACCACAATGGGCCTCTTTTATCCAATCCCACTGAATATCGTTCTATAGTTGGTGGATTACAATATCTCACTTAGACTCAACCGGATCTTGCATTTGCTGTTAATCAGATATGTCAATTTATGCATGCTCCAAGAGAACAAAATCTTCAAGCAGCAAAAAGGGTTCTCAGATTTCTTAAAGGTTCTATTTCTCATGGTTTATGGTTCACTAAAAGTCCTATCAATCTTTCAGCATACTCTGATGCTGATTGAGCTGGCTGCAGGTTTGATAGGCGGTCCACCACTGGATATTGTGATTTTCTTGGCTCTAATCTCATCAATTGGAGTGCAAAAAAACAAAGTATTGTTGCTCGTTCCTCTACAGAAGCTGAATATTGTTCTTTAGCACATATTTCTGCAGAACTCACTTGGGTTTGCAAAATTCTCAAAGATCTTCATTTCCCTCTACCTACACTACCTACACTATGGTGTGATAATATCTTCGTAATCTCTTTAGCATCTAATCCTATTTTTCATGCTCGAACCAAGCATGTTGAGATTGACTATCACTACATCTGGGAGTTGGTACTCGCAAATCTCATCAAAGTTCACTATGTTTGTTATGAAGATCAATTGGCTGATCTTCACACCAAATCTTTGTCTAAGAGCAGATTCTCTTATATGTGTTCCAAGCTTCCAATTGGAATCCTCACTGATTCCTCCTTTAGCTTGAGGGGGTGTAATAGGGAGAATGACAAGTCATCCAATGCAGTTACTATTAAATAGTCTGATAAAGCTAAATGTAATTAATTCTGTGAGTAACTGTAATTAGTTAAGGTAGTTGAGGGTATTCTTGTAACTAGCCTAAGGCAGCTAAGGCTATATATATTCACATCTGTGTAATTGATTTATTCATTCAATACAATTGAATAACTTATAGAGAAAGTTTTCTGTTTCTATACTTAATACCTTGAAAAATCTCTCAAAAAGTTCACATCCACATGGAGCATTTATTAATCTTTAAGACATTTGGTCCAAAATTACACCAAAAAGAGAAATTTGGCAAAAAAAAAAAAATTGACTAAAAAAGATATGGCCCAAATAGGAACGTTAGCCAAACAAGGTGGGAAAATATCAATTGGAGGCTGTTAATTTCATATATTTTTTGGCTATTTATCTACGAATTACAATTTGATGCGTATGAGAAGTAGCTTATTAACATCCGGAAAAAAGAAGAAAAAAAAACTTTAATCGTATGTGTTAAATTGTAAGTTGTCTGCTAAAAACAATAAGTTCTTACACGCAAGAAGTCAAACAATATATGTTACATTCAAAATTTCATCCACTCAACTTGTATCCCATCAAACAAAAAATAAAAAGTTTATACGAACACCATAACATCACATGGAACAGTAGCGTTTAATTTGTATTCAGACGTCAAATTTCATTTTCGATTTTTGTAATTTGTTAAATTTTCCACTTTAGTTCTTGTACATTCAATTTTGTCGATTTTGCCATTGTACATTAGCCCACTACAATTTAATTTCGCTGTATATAGTACTTGGGCTAATTACACTAACACCGCCTAAGGTTTATTGAGTTTTCACAAAACCTCTCACGTTTAAAATATTACTGTAACACCCCTTCAAGTTTTAATTCACTTTCACATAGCCCCTTCACTCAAAATTTACTAACAAATTAACTGAAGGGGTTATGTGAAAGTGAATTAAAACGTGAAAGGATGTTAGTGTAATGTCTCAAACTTGAGGGGGTTTTATGAAAATTTGATAAACTTTAGAGAGTGTTGGTGTAATTAACTTAGTTGGTGATAAATATTTACCATTACGCTCGAGATCCAAAGCCTAGTTTCCTCTTCGACAATATTATTTGTACATTAAAAAATTGTATTGGGCCTAATTCGTTAAAATGTTTGTTTGGTTTTTGGCATATAAGGCTCAAATGATCCAAACTCCAAACCCGAAATAATATTTTCCTTCACATTTCTGCCCGGTGACGGCTTCATCTGCAACCTCCAGTCTCCAGCTTCAGAAGATCGAGTTAAAGTTTCAGAGCGATAGAATCTACAAGATGGAGGGAACTGGAAGGAGATCGAGATTCTCACTCCTGCTTCTTCCTCTGCTGATTTCTCTGTCAATTCCCTGCATATCTGCCGCTTACAAGCCAGGCGACATCGTCCCCATGAGCAAGATGGGCCTTTATCACTCTGTCCGTGCTCTCTCTAAAACCTTCATCCAATTTCGGCTCAATTGTAATGGGTTTTATTTAATTTTCAATGGGTTTTGTGCAATTTCGTGGTTTCAGATGAAAACCGAATGGCATGATATGATCGGTCGACATTGCCCAATATTTGCTGTCAATCGTGAGGTAAATTTGTATTTTTCAATTTGGGTTTTCTTTTCAGGTTTTTGTGTGTTTTTTCATAGTCAGTAAATTTATTCATTTTTCTGGTTTATGAATTTGTAGGTGTTAGTTCCTATAGCGAAGCCAATGGGTTATACAGGAGCTGATGCTTATAAGATGTGAGTATAATTAAGGCTGAAAGTTCCGTCTTTCGATTCACATTTCGTTTCTTTCGTTATATTATCACTATTAGATTGCTAAGAATCAGCTAACTATCTATGTAAGTAAGGGTGAAACATTTCGTAATCGAGTAGTTTGTGTAATTTAATTTGAAGTTTGGTAGCTGAACTTACTTTTGTATCTACTTTGTAATTGAATGTGCATTGTGCAAAACTTGGAATCTTAATGTTAGAATTACCAATAAATTAACAGTTTCATTAAGTTTTCTGTGACATCTGATTCAAAAAACCGAAGCTGTAGATTGTATATTTGCTTCTGAATTAGGTTCTCTGGATACTGGTTGGATCTCCTCATAGGCTCTGGAAATTTATAGTTACGAGCATGTCTGGTCAAATTCATATTTACAGGAAGTTTTCTTGTGCAGATCATTTCAAGTTGGGAGAGAAAAGTTTTTAATACCGTGGCTTTTTGTGATAAATCGTAAAAGTTCTGAGGTCCCAATGATTGATGTCCATTTGGTAAGTTGTGAGTTATGCGCATTAGAACATAATTTCGACGCCATTATCCTTTGGGAAAATGGAAAGTAGTGGCTTACTGGGATAATAGCTTCTTTTAGATAATGCAAACAATTGATTCTGTAAGTTTATCTATCTGTTAGAAAACTGACTTGCATGCAATACAGAGGTACTCGGGAAGTGATCTGCATGGTGTCACTGCTAAAGTTGTGGATATGCCTCACCACTGTACGTAATGCCATTTTGCTCCTTCGTTAATCTAGTTCAAATTCTTTATCATAGTGAGTTAAGCTAGCCTTTTGGAAGGGTCTGTCTTGTAATGCAGGCACTTTATCCATTCATCATATTTTTGGTTAGTTTTGTTCCTTCATCATTTAGGTCAGTCTAAACAAAAGGAGGCAATAGGCCTCTTTGATGTCATTGATATATTTCGAGCTTTAATATCATTTTTGGAAAACAAAAAGCACCTCTAATTTGAGTTAATTTTGCTATTGGTCGAGGAGTTCTTATAACCGTTGTGGTGTGGATTCTTCTGTCTGAGCAGACTTAGAAATCCATCCAGATATTCGCAAACAATTTTGGGATGCTCAGCACTGGCCAAAGCATGTGCTGGTCAGATATACATGGTCCGCATCACTTCACTTATCTTTTAGTTATGATTTGTGTAAGTCTTGGGCTTTCGGATTTGCACTTTGTGAAATGTGACATAATCTTGTCGTATGCACGCAGGGAGGAGCAATCAGAGATAGACGTGACTTCTGGATTTTATGTACTGTTTGGATCAGGTAAAAATCAATGCTTGAGTATTGTCATTGTGTATTCATTATCCTTCCCCCAAGCCTTATCTTCGAAGTTTCAAACCAACTGTTTAAAGAACATACCATTACTTTGACGCTCAACATATGTGAACCTAATGTGATCAATGTATATATTTGTTGAGAGCACACTTAAATGTAGGGCTTTTCTGACACTGTTGCTACTAACCATTTTCATGCATTCAACAGGTCTCATGCTTTCTTTTATTCTGTCGATATACATCTTGCAATCATCACGGGACAAGTTAGCAAGGTATGTTTCTGAAATATTGGGCTACTTTGTTACCTGGAAAATAGAGTTTAGGAACAAGCTATCAAAGTTCAATCAGTGTTGCGTGGTTATTCAAGCTTTGCTCTACCTATTTTTCTGGTAATGTGAAATTTTGCTATTCTTTCCAGGTTCGTGAGGGAGAGAGTTGCAGAAAGCAACATGCCTGCTGGAGGTGTGGCAAAGGTTGAATGATAGAACACCATTGAAAGCGTCAATACATCGTCTTCATGTGCAACTCAGTCGGAAAGAGAAAATGAAACTAGTTGGGGTAGGTATGATGCAGTGAACGCGTATGTTGTTATCTGATTTCACTCAAGAAGATCGATCTCCAATCTCTCTAGAAGAAGAAAGCTGAATGAAATTTAAACGCCCGAAAGCCTGGTCAGAGTTTTAACTAATCAGACTGAAATCTTCTTTTTATGTCCGCAATTGATATGTATGGTCACAAACGGTTTAAACTCTCACAGTTGTACCTCAAGGATACTTAACCATGCTAAGAACCTGTTTGTTGCATAGATTAACATGTTTCTTTTGAGATGTCAATGTATTCTGGACATGGATTTCCAGATACACAGATACAAATATGAAATATACAACCATTAATTTGATCAGAAGGCGGCTGGAGTAGATGCGATCGTGGGCGTTGATCTTAATCATGATGTGGAGATTAATCCTACGATTATTAAGTATTTCCGATCAAACACAGATTATGGTAGTTTCAGTTGGATTTTAATTTTCCATACAATGAAGAATGGTTCGTAATTCCCCCTGGCTGTGGGTTAGGGCTCGTATTCAAGGATTTAAAAGATTTTAAAAGAGTTTATTCACGGGTATTCAATCACGAATTTGAATGAATTCGTAGAAGTTCATGAGTATTCAATCAAATTTTAAAGGTGTTCATAAAACTTAAAAAAAAATATGGGCATATTCAATTAGAATGTTAGAGTAGTCCATAAAATCTCATGTGTGTTGCAGTCCTATTAGATTAGGAATGTGATTGTGTAAATCTTAATGTATCTAGGGATATCTTGCAATATTCTATAGGGTTAGATATTATCATATTAGAGTTGTAATCCTATTAGGGTAAAAATTTAACCTTCCCTACTATTATAAATAAAGTCACAATGGGGTGGAATAGAACACACCTCACAATTATACATCTCTCTTTTTCTCTCTACTGTGCCGCACCCCTTTCTCTGTCCTTTATATGATTCAGTAAATTAGGCCTGCAACACGTTATTAGCATGCTCTTGATGCTGCGCTAAAGAGAGTTTGATCTTCAATCAGAGGAGTATTATGTTTTAATCATTCTTTTTATGATTAATTTATTATTTTATTGAATTGATCTACATGCTATTGATTCAAGTTATTTTTTCTTTGTTGAACGTGATACAACGCATTGGAGATGAAATTTCGGATTTCAGGGAAGGATCTTCTACAAATTCAAAGGCTTTTGTTGTTTTCTACCAATCAGGTACGCTTAAAATAAAGTAAGATATTTGAAGCAACCATGAAGCATGAAAACATTCCCCATGATGCATGAACCCCCTACATTCATATTTACCTTCCGATACACACACACACACACACACATTTCATGCATTACGCAATTATATTGCTATGTGGAATTTGTGAGTCAAAACATCAAATAAATTAGAAGCAATTTAGGGTTTTTCAAACCCTACACATGTCGGAAAAAAAAATATATGGGTTTATGCGACATGGCAGCCTTATCACTGTGACACCCACCGCGTTGGCCTGCAGCCTAGCTGTCTGGAGCAAATCATGGAACAATGTCGTTTTGACACCTTGGACCACACGGCAGCAGCTTTTTGGGCTTAGCTGCTCATGCACCAAGGCGCAAGGCCTTCGGCCTGGTAGGCTTACACGGGCATGAAGTTCCCTATCCCAAACCGAGAAGCCTGTAACCTTTTTGGCCATAGTTGCTAGGTTTCCCTTGACCCATGACAGGCCTGCCTGCAGCAGCCTATTGCTTGCTATACTTCGCCCCAGCCTTCGGCCCACTCACTCGCAGCTTTTGCTGCTGGGCTTGACTCACCATGACCCACCTGAAACCTAACTTCGACTGGGCTTCCCAGCACCAACCCACAGGCTAGCACAAGCTAGGCCTGCACCCATGCATGGTTTTTTAGGCCCAAAGCCAACACACGCTAGGCCTACACCCATGAAAACCCGACGTTTTGCATGTAAACCATGTATTAAAATCCGAATGTTCTAACTTTGATGCTTATGGATGTTTTATTGTCCATAACATTATGCACAATCTTGTTTCCTTCATTCAGTGGATTGTTGAATTGTCACAAGTTCGATTTAACTGATTTGGACGTTTCTTGACTGAAACCATTTTATGTGGGCACAAGACGTGAATCTCCACTTGACTATTAAGAAGCTGAAAACCATTGTAGCCAACAATGGCATGGAAGAGTTGAATAAGCCTTCATCATGCTCTTCATTCGAAGACTTATGCCTGAAGCATTACCCACGAAAGTACTTAGCGAACAAGGATTTCATGGATCTTTGACTCGCTTCTATGACCTGTTTAATCATGAATGATATTGCCTGAAGCACACCATGATCACATCCATAAGTGAGTATAATTCTGAAGTTTTTGAATCCGATCGAATTTTGACTGGAAAATACTTTTCTCGTCATTCCTTGTTTCTACCTCGCTCCTGAAGCAATAAGTGTAGAAAGTGAAAGTTTACCAAATTCTCGGATTTGATTACTACCACAAACGTGAGAAAAAGGTATAGACCCAGTTTCGGCTGGAGTATACCAAACTGTATAAATCCAGTTTGGTTAGAGTCTACTGAATGACTTAACCCAGTTTGATCAAAGCCTATCGAATGGTGGTGCCCTACTTTGGCAGGGATGCACCGAATGATATTGCTTTACTTCGGTAGAGGCCTACCGAACAAACCCCTTTAGTTTCGGCTAGAGCCTACCAAACCCAATTATGGGTCTATCTCTCTCATAATTCAATTTCGAGTTTGTTTTTACAACCTATGGCAGAATTAGAGTCTGCCAAGGTGTGGCATCATGCCTAAAGCATGATCCTTGGCATCTAAGACCTCAAACTTCAAGAATAAGGGATAGTATTCCCAAACCTTAACCCTGCAGAATCTACTTTTGTCTTGATGGAATAGATCGTTGGTTATGCATATGTTCGTGCCCTTACCAATGTTGTTAAGAAGTACCATTCTCATAGTCAATATGTGAGACTAATTTTGCTCTACTGAAAACCGTTGGAAGAGCAGAATTTTGACATGGATGACCTTGTTGGCCAAATCCCTTTAGTAAACCATTTACTTTGTGAACATTTTTTTTTATGTTCTTAGATTCACATTTGGTGTTAGTTTTAGTTATGGATAATCTTATTGATGTTGTCCTCGAACACGAGTTAATTGAATCATGTTTCTTGTATATATGTGACCAAATTCAATTAAACATGTGATTATGTATGAATGTGGGGAAGTTAGTTATCTGGATGAATGCGATACTACACACACTAACTTTACACCTAAATCACAACTTTAGCAACGACTTCACGTTTATCCAACCCAATTAAAAGCATTGGCACACTCCTCATTGTATGAATGGTACTACATTACCATTTAAGAGACCTTATATTTTCCCCGTTTCGGAAGAACATCGTTTAAGTTTTAAGGATATTCGAGATGACAATGATCATGAATGAAACCGCTAAAGAAAATAGAGTGAAATATCTTTGCACCACCTCCAAAAATGAGCATGAAGTTTTGTTTTGGGGCCAATGGGCTGTCCCAACTGGGAACACACCACATGTAGCCGGCTTGGAACCTGGTGATTGAGTAGTTTACTTGCTTTGGCACGACCATTTGGGACATTTAGGTCGAACAATGATACCACGACGCATCTCCTTACCCGAAGTAAGGATCTTGTGCTTACAAGCACACTTTGCCTAGCCTGCTCATTAGGAAAATTGATTTTCTAAATCATCCATTGCAAAAATACAAAATCACCCTTTTTCACAGTGGATTCAAGGGAATATATGTGGACTAATCCAACCAAAATGCGGACCATACAAATACTTATGGTTTTGATTGATGAATCGACAAAATGGTCACATGTTTGTATACACACATTGCTGCTAAACCTCCTGGCCGATTTCAAGGGTTCACCACCCTACTTATCCCATAAAGTCTGGGAGATTGAATAATGCCTAAGAGTTTATATTGCTGATTTTTGATAAAGTATTGCATGTCTTTTGGGTTTATAATTGAACATCGAATTCCCATCTTCACCCCAAATAGCCTCATAGAGTGATCATAAAGCACAATTTAAATGACCGCCCGGACCTTAGTAACGTACCAAGCATTTTCGGTTTATGCCTAAGGCTATGCAATCTTGTACGCATCTATGTTAGTCTGCCTTGAGGCCCATTGCCACCTAACCGATTTGATGTTATAGTTGGTTACTGGGTACGAACTTGACGCTTTGTATTTACGCATTTTGGGTGTGCATTCCATGTGCCAAGTTGCGCCGCTGCAATGTACCAATATGGGTCCTCAAAGAAGGATGTGAATCATTGTCGATTATGAATCTCCTTCACACTAACTCTCTTGGAGCCCTTGCACGTGATCTCTTTACCGCTCATTTGTGGATTGTCATTTCAATGAGACAATCTTCCCGTCGTTAAGGGAAGATAAGAATGTCAACGTTCCTGTAACGGCGCGAACTTGCATAGACGTTGCCCACTATATCTCATCTTGATCCCCGTACTGCATAAGTGTAATAAACAAGTGTGATGTATTCTAACTTTCAGAATGTTGCTCCAGACGCATTCCTCTAATCTAGCTAAAATAATGAGATCATATAGCAGTTGCAAACATGCCTGCAAGGATATACGTACTTAACAGACGTCGAGTTAATATCCTCGAAGGGTGTGCCGCCCCTGTTGGACGGTTTGGCCACCCCTGTTGAACGACCCGGTACATTGGCAGATAGCCAATTAATCTGTCTTGACCTGGAGCATGACAAATTACTTGATTAATAGGATTCATTTCCCTAAAATAGGAAGACATGGCACACAATGAATCTATACTCGATTACTGTCTCAAATCATTTCCATCATGAGATTAATCTGGATTACTTCCGAAACTTGAAGTTCTGGGTCCAGTATACTAGTTTGGATGAGTTAATGGAATTGAAATGGGATTACCATTGATGATGTTTTCACTTATATGGTAGCTACTGACATAAATGAAAAACGACGATATCGAACCATGTTCTGTTGATAAAGTGACAATGTAGAACTGATTGGACAACCGAAATTACAATCCAGGTTAAAATTCCTTACCAAAGTGTGTTTTGGACCTATCGTTCCTACACTGCTTAAGGTAACCCTGTTGTGTTACAAGTAAGGAAAGGAAGCGTAATGAGATGAATGAAGTAATGCGATATAATGCACGCCTTACGATGTAAGGTTTCTCTCAAACGCCATGTGATTGATTGCAGCATTATGAAATGTGGTTAGTGTTTCTCCATGGGATATAGATACAGAGATTTACATGTAAGTTCTCGAATAATTATATGGACTGGTTCAAATAGTTCC